ATATATATATATAAATCCGAATTTTTCTCAGTTTTTTTTCATATTCTTCTCAGTTTTGTTTTTCATATTTTCTCAGTTTTCTCGTTTTTTTTTCATATTTACAAATTTTTTTCATATATAAAATTGGATTAAGGGATTCGATTTTGATATATATGTTTTTCATTTTTTTTTATTGTTGCAGAGATGCAAACAAAGAAAACAAACAATTTTGTAAAAACTTTTTATTAAAAAAATCAATGTGTTGTCATTTTTTTGTCTTCAAAACAGCAAAATATTTAAACTGCCACGTCATCAATACAGAGAAGGGTTATATTGCGGGTGACTTTTGAGATTATAGTATTGACCTGCATTTTTTTGATGGGGAGGGTTTTCTTGCAAAAAAATATTACTTAAATGGTTTTTTTGCACAAAACCCATAAAAAACACTAACAATCCCGATTTTCTAGTTTCATATCTATCGTATTCACAATTTTGAATGAAGTTAAAATATCGAGAAAATGAAAAATTGTTATGATTATGGTTGTGACAAGAATGAAACGCTTCCACGAGATTGTAATTGTAATAGTGTTTTAACGATTGCGTTGAAAATTTTGCGTTGAAAATTTTGACCACGATAGATAGAAAACTGGAAAATTGAAATAGTTAACGTATAATTTATCAACTCTAAATTAGTTTACGTACTTTCCTGGCAACAATTTTTTTTGTATAATTTTCTACATAAACTAAATAAATCATTATTTTTTTTTAGAATTTTTCCTAAAATCAGATTACAAAGCCATTTTTTTCACTTCTTTTTAGCAATTCTATTTACTTTATGTATATAAATCTGATCAAAAGAAAAAGCAGTAGAAAATAATAATAAACAATCGGACGGTGGAGAATGGTTTATGTAGAAACAAAAAAAACCTATAATCCCAAACGCAATAATAATAAGACGCGTTACACAAGAATCATATTTGTGGCTCTGGTTTCTCCATCCAAACCAAAACAACACCCAAACCTCGTCCACACCCAAAATGTGAAAAAAACTCTCAAAAACCAACCACACAACAATCTCTTTCTCATTAGAACCGATCAGAGAGAGACACAGAGAGAAGCTGATTTGATTATGGCTGCTGCTTCGATATCTGCAACTGGATGTAATCGAGGTTTGCTAGGAACTTCCTTCTATGGAGGTTGGGGAAGTTCCATCTCCGGAGAAGATTTCAAGACACTTGCGCCGCCGCAACAAGCACGAGTCTCACGGAAAGCTATCAGAGCAGTGCCTATGATGAAGAATGTTAATGAAGGCAAAGGGTTATTTGCACCTATAGTTGTTGTTACACGCAACATAGTAGGCAAGAAGAGGTTTAATCAGCTTAGAGGCAAAGCCATTGCTTTACACTCTCAGGTTTTGTTTTTTTTTTTGTTTTGTGCCTTTTCGGACAAACATGTTCCACTGTTTTGTCTGAAAAAACCATGTTTGTCTGAAAAAACTAGATCTAACTATGGTTTTGTTCTTTTTTTTTCAGGTGATTACAGAGTTCTGCAAATCTATTGGAGCAGATGCTAAACAGAGACAAGGGCTTATTAGGCTTGCTAAGAAGAATGGAGAGAGGCTTGGCTTTCTTGCTTAGTTCTTGAAAAAGAACAAATCTTTTCCTCTGTTTTTCGTCTGTATACACTCTCCTCATGTTGTTCTCTTTGTCTAGATGTATTTTGTTCAAAACCTATAATCTTGATTTTTGTTACATTGCTCAAACAAAACACATGACTGCTGCCATTCTCAATTCTCATCTGATAGTTCATAGTTGTGTTTGCAATACTCAGATACTCGTATATGTAGCAAACAAATGAGAATGTTCATTGTTCAGTAAGGTCTTAGTATTCTCACTAATCATATATGCAAACATGTAATATTGTCACTCTTTCAAGATTGAAGTTTGAGACATGTCTCAAGCCTAATTACTACTCTAAATATCTGAAACAAGAAAAAAAGATTGAGAAAAGACAGTAAGCTTTGCTTTCTAGTTAGGTATCTCGTTTCTCGACAAAGAAGGGGGACTAATTCTCATCTGATAGTTGTGTTTGCGATACTCAGATACTTGTATATATAGCAAAGAAATGAGAATGTTCATTGTTCAGTATGGTCTTAGTTGAATTAGTATTCTCACTAATCGTAAATACAAACATGTAATATTGTCACTCTTTCAAGATTGAAGCATGAAGCCTGTCTCAAGCCTAATCACTACTCTGAAACAACGGATTGAGAAAAGACGGTATGCTTCGCTTTCTATTGAGTTATCTTGTATCTCGACAAAGATGGGGGAGTTCAAGATCAGGAGGAGAGGTATTAAGATCAAAGTGTTAACAGCTTAATATGTCGAATGAAGTTGTCATCGCGGAAACTTGATATATAGCTTCAACTCGACATTTATTTTACAAGTTAAACTATGTTTTTCTAGCTAAGCACTTGTTACTAAAGGTTTCAGAAGGTCCACTTGTTCATGTTGAGCCATTGAAACTATTGGAAAAGGAAATTTTAGTAATGAAGTTGAAATTGAGCCAAATTGACAAATCTTCGTCTACACAAAGCGGAATTTCCTCCACCTCCGAACGCCGAAAACCGCCCATTCATACTCAGCAAGTAATATTTGTTTGCATCAGTACACAATTTCATGAGGTACTTGAGACCCTGACTCATACACATACAGTAAAACCTCTATAAATTAATAATGTTGAGACCACAATATTTTATTAATTTATAGTGATATTAATTTATCTATAAATTAATATTTATTATTTTATAGTGTAAATTAATAATTATTAATTTATCTATAAATTAATATTTATTAGTAGTATTTTTAACTTTTAAAGTTTTTTGAAAATATGAATTGGGACAAAAATAAGATTCGTTTTAAAATTGTATAAATGTTTGTAGTTTAGAATTGAATTTTATATTTAGAAAAATAATTTAACAATACATTAAAAATATAAAAATAAATAGAGTTATATACAAAAAAGATAAATATGTTAAAACCTTAATTGTTATCTTATAACATCCTATAAAACTAAACAAAAAATTGAATATGATGCATATTTATAAATAGAAAACATAAAGAAAAATTTGGTTATTTTGTAAGGTTATGGAGTATATTCTAAGATTATAGTTTAAAAATATAATATAAATATTATTTATAGAGATGAGGTATAGGAGAAAAAATCATTTTTACAAAAAAAGTAAAAGCATATTTCAACATATCTAATTATATATATAAGATAGATATATATATAGTGATTATTAATTTATGATATTATTGGGACTATATTTTACACAGGAATGTCAAAAAGTTATTATTTTATTATTTTATCAAATTTAGTTAATTTTTACACTGGCCCGACTTGGAACCAGCAAAATTTATTAATTTATAGTGGTTATTATTTATAGAGTATTAATTTATAGAGGTTTTACTGTATACTTAATTAAGAGCCTTAACTTATATTTTTAGGGGCACAACAATGAAGGTAAAAGATAGAAGATGGTCATCTGCAAAAAAAGAAAAGGAGCAATCCATCTTCAACTTCTCTTGAACAAGTTTGCATCAATCAATTCAACATTTTGCAACAACACAAAGTAAGACACTGGAGCTGATTAAACTAGCGGATCTTCTATTAGTATATTTCATAGTAATATTTTAGGGATGTTCAGTATTAGTCTATTAGCAAAGTAAATGCTTTGTTGCTATGAGCTTTCTTAGAAACGAAAGGCATGAGATAGAACGCTACTTTATAGTGTTTTCAATTACGAAAAAATTAAAACAAAAACTATTTTCAACTGCTAGGCATTGAACCCAAAATTCAATCAAAGCCATATTTTTGAAACGGGAAAAACCCGCAAAATACTCCATTTAATTTTATTTTGGCCGTTTAATACCTGCATTATTAAATTTAGAATAAAAATACTTGGTTTAATTTTTGTTGTAACAAAAAAATTTTGTTTTATTAATGTTGGTAAATCTATACGTTCGAGTTAACAGCCGTTAACGCTGGTCACGGAATCGTTAAACGCAGTTAGAAGTTTACTTCACGTGGTTAATTAGTCTAAACATAAGACACTGTTACCCTTTGTCTTTTATCTACTCGATTTGGGTTTCTAAGAACCCTAAATCAAAAAAAATTCAAAATTCATAGTGAAACAGAGAATGGTGAGCCAAACTTCAGGGTCTTTTGATGCGAATTCAAGCCATAGCTGGGGTCCTCTTTGCAGCAGTTGTGGTAGAGTTTCGATTGTCGCAAAGTCATGGACCAATGACAATCCGGGAAGAAGATTCAACAGATGTGGTGTTCATGGATTCTTGAGTTGGGTGGATGAACAGAAGCCATACGGTTGGCAGAAATTAAGCTTAGAGGCAAGAGATAATAAATAACTTTGTATGGTTTTTAAAATATCAAAATACTAATCTTTTTTTTTATGTGGTTATAAAGATTTCAATGGAAATAACACAAAACTAGAGAAATAAATAACTTTGTATAGTTTTTCTTCGATAAAATGAAATAAAAAATTAAATCAAAATTTTTTTTTTTGCTTTCTATAATGTTAAGGAAGAAATTAAACAAGAACAAGAGCAAGAAACAAAATTTTATTTTGGTTTTTGAATTCATAAGAATTAAAACAACAAAACTGAAAAAAACATTGAGAAGATAAAGGTTGGATGAACACAATCTGGGTTGATAAGAAATTTTAGCTGTGATACCAGATGATATATATAGGCTCGGAATCCACCAAGGCTACTTGATCAAAAGATGTCAAGAGTTGTCAAGCTTTGGTGCGAAAGATGAATAAAAGTAGATATGGAGATGGAGTTCGCTATTGATTCCACAATCACACACAAACAAGAAGGCTTGATACCACAAGCAATCTGATCGGTAAATCAGTAGAAAAGAAATGATTCCACACTTAGATTCTAAAGACAAGAATAATAACAAAGACACAACTTTCTAAGAAAAACAATTGTTTATTGAATCAATGATAATGTGTGCTTTACAATGAATCACGAGCTGAGCTTTTATAGGCTCAATATACAATGGCACTAGAGTCTAAAACAAGAAAACAAATCGCAAAACATAAAGAATATAGCCGTTGGAGCTTTGTTGGCAAAATCGGCCAAATTAAGGAAAGTCTTTAAGCTTGTATCTTGAGAGCTTGGAGAGATAGGTGCGACATCTTGGGACACTCTGGGATGTGTGTAGTGTCTTTAAACGCAGCAGCTTTGATAGAGAAAGAGCCTTTGTATATTTAAATCTCCATTTCTGAATGCTTCTAGAATAGGAAAGTTTAGGTGCAAGACGATTCGCCTAATCCTCTGGATACTATATAGGGGATAGACTAGATCAATATCCGTGTTGTAGCATGGATTATATTTTATTTTACTTATTTTATATTTTATATAGTAAAAAACTATAGATAAGAAAAAAAGAAAAAGTTGTTTATATTAGAAATATTGTTTTTTCAAAGATTATTTATTATTAACCTAATGTTACTGGAGTTTTTATAAACATCTTAGGAAAGGAGTAAAATATTGTTTTCAATTGAAAAAAAATGAGGAAAGTTTGTAAAACTTTATCTAAAGTTTGAACCTTCTTACCAATTTTTAAGACATGCAAAACGGTAATGAACGGAATATTGACATATTCAATTAACTAAAATATTTTTTCTTGGAAAGGAAAACGTCAAAAAGGAGTAACTCATTTATTTACATAATATAAATATAAAAATAATAATTAGATGGATAGGTAAAATTATTTTATCTTCAATATCTTTTTTTTTTAATCCATGGGTAGTAGAAACGCCAAGATAACAACCATTCATTCACAAAGGTTTTTACATTAAAATTTAATTAAATAAATATATTGTGACTCTACGGTTTTATTTTATTTTTGAGATTTTATTGTTATTATATTGTAGACGAAAGATAAAAACCTGTAAAATGAGAGTGTCGCGCACGTGGATCTCACTCGCGGCGAGTTATTTCCCAAAAAGTTTTCTTCTTCTAATTACAAATTTGTGCACCGACGTTAGGTTCTCTGTCAATTCTGGTGACGATGAGGACCCTTCGGCTCTGGTTCTTTATCCGCGATTCATTGCATCTTCACGATGAAGCTATTGGCTCAAAATCAAGAGAGCAGCAGAGACGGGAAGCATATGTGAGACAGCGCTAGTATGAGATCTATAGGTGGTGCGGCGACACAAAGTGGAAGAGGGAGATTCATGGCGAAGATTGAGAGAGGAGAGTAGTGAGATTTAGGGTCTTGAGTCATAGAAAAATAAAATTATTGTAGATAATTTTCAACTTTTTTTACTGAATAATCAATTACTTTATATGGTCAATTTGAATATATATATTTCGAAAGAAGATATAATTTTTTTGAAAGTGTTTAGAAAAATGTATGTACTCTACGTGATTTGTTTATCGCATTGATAATATATATAAAAAAAAAGAAAAAGAAAAAAAAGAACCATGTCAAATTATGTATTTAAAGTTAGCGAACAATAGTAATATTAAATATCAGTAGAAATTATAATGAAATGTACGACTATAAGTTGAAAAAGAAATATTAGGAAAAATGTAATCTCCACTCACGAGTCACCACCCTCACCTTTGGTGGCAGCCACCATTGTAGTTACCGCCACCGAGACCGATAAGCTTTGCTAGAATTGCCATCATTGGGAGGACCCTCACCAGAACTACATCGGCTGGAACCACCGCCTCCAAAACCACCGCCTAGACTAAGGTTGAAATCACCACCACGGCCAAAACATTCCATACCCTTAATGCTATTTACTTAATTGATATATAATAATATAATTCTGTATTCTTAAAATTTTATTACTAGAAATGTCTGTTTCGCATATAGAGTCAGAAAACAAAAAAAGAATAAGAATCGTAATAGCAAAAAAAAAAAAAGAAAAAGGAAAAAGAAAGGAATTTAAAATGTTAAAACGATGACGTAGTAACCAAAACACGCAGCCACCTAGGCCTGGGCATAAAATTCGAATCCGAATTCGAAAATCCGAACCGAACCGAACAGAAAAAATTGGATTAAAACCGAACCGATATTGGAAAAATAACCGATCGGTTGTTAGCTTTCATTATTTTTGGATATCGGATTAAACCCGATCCAAACCGATATCCAATAGATATCCATATATAACCGAACTTATAATATATACTTTAATATCTTTAGGATATATACGTTTGCCGCATATCGGATTAAAAATTATTTTTAATTGATTTAGGATGTCACTGAATTTTGCTACTTTTTCATTAGGAATTTATGGTTTAGCTTGATTTATTTAAAGCTTTTATGCATCGACACAGTTTTATGCTTCAATTTTATATATTGGTATGGTATTATGTTAGTTGGTTCTTTGAACTTGTCATTTGCCTCATTTCTACTTTTTATATATACTTGGATAGTATGGATTATTTGAGTATAATTGAATTTAAAAATATCCGAATAAAACCGAATCTAATAAATTTTGGTTAAAATTTAATTATCACAATTATATTCAAACCGAACCGAAATCCGAAATATCCGAATGGAAACCGAACCGAATTTTATAAATATTCGAATGGATGTTAGAATCAATATCTAAAAAATCCGAAAACCGAAAAATCCGAACCGAACCCGATCCGATATCCGAACGCCCAGATCTGAGACACCAAAAAAGTAAAAGAAAAAAAAAAAGAAAAAAAAAAGTAAACACGCTAAAGATGGAAATTAATATTTTCTTAGTAAATCACGTCGGTTATCAAATTATTTATTTACGAGAAAGCGTCTTCTCTCTCTCTTTATATCTCTATCTCTATCTCTCTCGAAACCAAACCTAACAATTATCAAACACCATGGAAACTCTCGACTGGTCGAAGCTCCCTCTGGATATCCTCAGATCTCTGTTTGAGCTTTTGAGTTTTGTGGATTTCCATCGAGCTAAGATGGTTTGTTCCAACTGGTATCATGTTTCGAAAGAAACAGTCCCCCGGAAAAGCTTATCTCCATACCTAATCCTTTTTCCAGACGACACTACTGATTGCTTGCAATACAAGCCATACGAAAAAGACATAATTTACACGAGAGCAGCTCCGAGTCGATTGCTTGCAAGTTGCGGTAAATGGTTGCTGATGATAGATTCTCGATCAAGATTGTATATTATAGATGTGTTTAGTGGGAATAAGATTGATCTTCCTCCATTAGAGTCGCTCCTATCAAACGACTATGCTCTGAAAGATAGAGGAGATAAGGAGTTTGAATGGGAATCAAGTGACGGCTCTGTTTACATATTATACGCCGATGAAATTAGGGGACGTTTGTGGGTAGACGAGAAGACAGATGAGTTGGCTTTGGTTTGGTTCTTTGACTCCCCTCCTTGTTTTTTAGGGTTTTACAAGAAAGGCAATGCTCATTACGATCTCATTCCCATTACTTATGGTATCCCCAAGGTGTTAACTGGAATGCTCTCTCTGGTTCTTCGGGGTTACCGTCTATACATCTTGACGCTGCGTCGTTTCGTTCGAATCATAGATTTTTCTAGGCAGCATGGTTTCGAAGAAGTCAACACCGGCGGCACCGGGAGTGACCCATCCCCAAAGTTTCCTCCTCCCGAATGTAATTGTTATTTTAGCATCGCTATTACTACAGCAGGTGAGGTTTTGTTTGTCACAGAAACAAAAATGGCCTTCCGTATTTACAAGATGGATCCTAATGCTGAACCAGATGACAACATGCCTGATCTTCTTGACGTAGATTCTCTTGGTGATGAGGCTTTGCTTCTCGACTTGGGTATTACCGTCCCTGCTAACCATACCCTTAGTATCAAACCAAACTCGGTATATTTCACTCATCATAACCTTATTCGCTCCAACGCCAATTGGAACAAACCCGACAATTTCCTGCCACCTTATGTTGTGGACATCTGTGTGTTCAATCTTTCAACCAAGACCCTCGAGCCTTTCCCTGCTCCCTCCAACATGACTCTCAAGGATGCTCGATGGATTTTCTCTTGATGGACTTAGATTCCAATCTCCCGACATGAGGAGATTGATAGCAACGTTGATACTCCGCCCCGCATAACTATTATGACATTTTCTGCTTTTTTTAAACTCTTGTTAGAGACTTGAATAAATGTTTGAGAAAAGAGGAATATGTTCTCATTTTCATCTACTTAGTACATGCTCCTTTGACAAATTAATACTTTGAATTCTGCTACTCTTTCATCTCTGGATTCTCCGTGCGCTGATTCATATAACCACTTTTGCATTTTCCAATAAAACTTGCTTGTAAAACTTGATGGTTAGTAACTCTTGTTAAGCTCATCTGTAACTTCTCCTCTATTCTCCTTCCGGCACATCAGCGACACATCATCCGCCACATCATCAACTTTTTTAATTTTTTTATTAATAATCTCAAAAGGGCATGAACTTAAGGTCCAACGGCTACACACCAATCAAACCGGTTAAAGAAGATCGAGAAAACGTCGGATACACGAATTTGGAACTATCTAAACGTCGGATACAACAATCAAATCGGTTAAAGATAGATCGGAAAACATTTACTAAAACTGTTGTTTACAAGAACAAATCCTTTGCAGCTATGCACCGATTTTGAAACCATTGACTAGATTACACAAATTTAAGCATAGGAAGAAACCAAAAATAAGTCAGATCCCAGAACATCTATCATGAAATAGATCAAAACCAGACACACCGGAAACATTATCTCTCTAATCCCATACCTAGAAAAGAGAGAGTACCGCAGAAACTTGCCCTCGACCTCTCGCGAATCGCAAATAACAATAAACATTTTAAGTACTAAACTAATACAAAATTGAAAAAAAAAACAACTATCCATATGGGAATAGAATAACAAAAGTGACAACAGTAAAAAAACAACAAAAAGTTAAAAACAAAAAATCATAATATAAATTATAAACCTCCCGCGCGCAGCGCGGATCAACAACTAGTTTATTAAATAAAACAGAACTAAAGATATACAAATATTCTCATCAAAGAATTGTAAATTCATACCTAAATTTTTTTTTTAATGTTTTCATGTGTTAAAATCTAAAATCATTACATAAAAAAAAAATTATAATAGAGATCGAAAAATCCTGCCTAAAGACATACAAATATCTTTATCAATAATTGAAGATTTATAACTATAAAATTATTATTTTCTCTAATTTATTTATGTTTTCAGGTATAAATTAAAAATATTGCGTGTGTTAAAATTTGGATAATCATAACATTAACAAAATAATAATCAATATTAATTAAATATTATATTTTCTTATCTATATTAGGAGTTGGGACCCTTCTACTAGACGGAATATTTATTTTCAAAATAAAAATAAAAATAATCTTTTAAAATAATATCCAAAGTATTTTTTAAAAATATTTTAAGAATATCATATCCAAAGTATTTTTTTAAAGAGATACTTATTTAAGGGGGATTTGCACAAATAATCTTTTTATGATACCGTCTACGGGTGTCCATTTTCAAAAATACTATATTCAATGTACAAAGATCTGAAAATGAGAGGTGTAGTTTATTTCGGTGAGAAACTTTGTTTATAAATAATGGGTATTTTAGCTTTAATAGTATAGATATATCTACTTTCAAAAGAAGCATTAGATTTGTAGTTTATTACGTAAAATGCCATTGAATTTTAACTAAGATTATTGGATGGATTCATTAAAGGTTGTTATTAAAGTTTTGCAATGTATCAAATTAAACAGCATATCAAACGTAAATAACTTTGAGTTGATATCAAACAAATTTCAAAACTTTAAAGATTTATCGACTAAATGTGTTACAACGGATCTTTTGGTAATTTATGAGTTTATTATATTGCATTTAGATGTGTTAACAGGTAACTTAACCTATTTCACAATACATGCAAATGAATTACAACAAAGCAAGTAAGATTTCAAACTTTCATCCTCACCTGAAAAGGTAAGTGTGCCATTCTCTTTGTACAAGACCATCTGATTTAGATAACAAACATTAACACTATCTTAGAATTACAGTCAAATCAATGTTCAATAAGCTCCCAGCTGAATTAGTATTCTCAGTAATTCACAGATACAAACATGTAATATAGTCACTCTTTCAAAGGATTTTAGTCTGACAAAAAAAAACAGTCTTAAGCCTAATCATAACACTGAAACAATTAACTGATTGAAAACAAAAAATAAAGACTGTGATCTTTGTTTTCTATTGAGGTATCTCGATTCTTGACAAAGAAAGTGATCTCCAAGATCAGGAGGAGAGGTATTGAGACGCATGTGCAAATCCCCAGAGCTGCAGATGTTAACAACATTTAACTTTGCATTGATAACTTTAAGATTGCATATTATGTTGAACAAGGTGGATTATATGTGTATATACCTCGACATTTTTTAACTCAAACTCTGTACTGCTAGCTAAGCATTCGTTCCCAAATGTTTCAGAAGGTCCACTTGTTGCCTTCAACCTAGTTCATGTACAACGGCGATTGGTTTGAGTACCATCAAAACGATAAAAATGGCAAATCTTTAAAATGTTTTGAGCCAGATTGTGCCTTACAAATCTTCGTCTAAGCATAGAGCGAAGTTTCCTCCACCTCCAAATGCCAAAAACTCATTCATACACATCAGATAATATCGATTGGCACCTGCATACAAATTCATAAGAGAGGTTCCTGACTAGACATACTTGAGGGTCTTGATTTAGGTTTGTAGGGACTGGTTCACAATGTAGGGGTAAAAGATAAAACACGTTTATCTACAACTTATCCTTAACTAGATGGTTAACGGAAACTACACAACTACTCTTACAAGCTGACAAGAACCAGGGAAAGTTTCGATAAAATCAATTAGAACCAAATACTCTTACGATCCAATTTTGAAGAGACTTGAGCATTCTCCTCAAATTCCACTCTTTATATATTCTTATACATATCCATCCTCTATCTATATGAATTCTTGAGAACGAAAAGAAAAAAAGAAACAGCCAAAATGGTTACCGGTAGGTCTAAATATGCGTGGTTCCCCATAAATAGTTGTGAACAAGAATGTCTGGCTTGTACCCTATCATCCAAATACATGTAAAGATAATCAGCAATAACGACTCTTAATTATTCTCCTAGAGAGAAAATACTGTAAAAATTAGTTAGCTTGCCTGATATTTCCTCTTCGGAGTAGGTCTCAACGGACATTCTAGTAGAGCGCCGAAAACCGCACCTTGTTTGTCTCCAGCAACCTACACCATACCCAATCATCACAAACTAAGATCTGTTCCATTCAACCTTGTCAAAATGTTACCAAAGAGCATAAAGTTCAACAAACAAACCAGTAAACAAGGACCAGGAAGCTCTCCACTTCTTCGTAGAAGAGTACGAAGTGATATGCCATGTTTCAACGTACTGCCCTTCATCCGAACAAGAAGTTAATACCAAAACAAACAAGCTAAAATCTCTAACATAAAATACCGAAATAAACTTCCTTACCTATACAACAAGAACCATTTGCATCCCCTTACAATATTCGGAAGACTCGCTTGCAAGAATTCACACAAGTTAGCAGTAATAAAAACAGAGCTTTCTGTTAATTCTCTCATCTGCTTCACTTCTTCCAAGTAATCGTTACCGATTTCTCCTTTCGCTAACTCACCACCTTTACTTGATTCCTTATCTTCATCAATTGAGATAAAGGTCCCAGCTTTACTTTGCCCATTTTCAGGTTTGCAATTCTCAATAGACTCATAGCTGTCTGTTCTAATGGGTAGAGGAGGACATGATTCCAATTCATCATCATTCCCAGATTGAGGAACAACAAAAGAGAAATACGAAGACAATGATTTGCCTACACTTGAACTCAACTTAGCCTACACATTCAAAAGCTTAATGTCACAGATCAAACCAACCTAATTCGTATATCACCACAAATTGATCTATTTGTAAACAAACACGATTCAAATCCAAAGACCCATCTCAGGAAAAGAGTAAAAGCACAAAGCTTTGATTCCAAAACGAAACAGAGAGATCAAAGGCGATACCTTTGGAGAATCGGAGTTGGAGAAGCGTGGAGAAGCAGATTGGCTTGGGGAATCAGCGAAGAGATTAGAAAGCTTTTGTGAGACCTTGTCTTTGAGAGCATGCATTGCGATCAGAAAGATGGGATTTTGATCGGAGACGAATGGTGTGAACAGAATTTGTCGGTGGCTGAGACAGGGGGGAGAAGCCAGAGTCACGGAGATGGAGAAATCTCGGCTTTATAAAAGTTTATACTTTCCTATCTCTACTTTTATTCACGGAACGACGATCTATTTTTCCCCCAAAACTTTCGTATACAAATAGTTCCACCCACACTTTCAGCTTCTCTTTGTATCTCTCTCGAAACAAAGTTCCACAATTATTTTCCTTCACATCGAAAGTTCGAAACCTTTTTCCCCATCGAATTAAAGTTCGAAACTGATTTACACATCCGGCTGGGTTATTATTGGTTTACTATAGACCAATATCCTCTTAACCATCTAAAACAAAATTAAACCAATCATAAACCAACTTAACCAAACCTAAATTTGATTATAACCTAAAGAAACAAAAAATCCCCAAATCAAACAAACCCCAATTCGATTTCATCCTCTTCTTATGAACCCTAATCCCCAAATCGCAATTTTATCTTCTTCCCAACTCTTCTTCTTCTCCAAATTGATCTTAGCTCCTCCGCCGATGTCACTTGTCGAGATTGAGATGAATGATGTTGCTATTGATGAATGTTTGATGTTCAGTGGACTTAGAGTAGATTTGATTTGAAATTGGAGTATATTTGATTTGATTTGAAATTGGAGTAGATTTGAATCATAGGGTTTTAAGGATCTTAGATTTGGGGGTTTTTAAACAAATGAAGATTTGGGTTGCAGGTTGGGTTTATTACTCAGACCCTGATTTCTAATTTGATTTCGTTTCTAGGTTGTTTCGGTTTTATGTTGTTAACCGAGTAAACCATCCATTATGGGAAAAAAGGTTTCGAACTTTCGATGTGGGGATATAACTATGGAACTTTGTTTCGAGGGGGATACAGAGAGAAGCTGAAAGTGTGTGTTCGTATACGAAAGTTCCGGGGGGAAATAGATCGTCGTTCCTTTATTCACACTAAGATAGGAATTATGGCTCTTATAGATGGCGTTCTATACAAGAGGGCAAGGTTCTCTGTAACAGGATAATCAGGTTAGCCTATTGGTTTAATCTTTATTTGGTACATCTAGTCAGTGTACTGGTTTGTTTTATTCTTCATCTGCACACTCTTATTCTTCCATTTTCATATAGACAGGAACCTTATTAACTTATGATTAAGATCCTAGATCCCACCACCGCGACCTCCCCGACGGCCTCGCCTGCCACGACCTCTTCTACTCTTGTATCCATCACCACCTCTACTTGCTCGGTCTCCGCCACCGCCTCCACGTTCCGTGTCACCACCTGTAACGCTCCGACCGCCATCTCTCCAGTGGGTTCCATGTTCACCACAAGCCCATTGACCTATCTTTCTTAATGGGTCTCACGTACTCTCATTGGACTCATAAGCCCATTAATATCCGACGGTCGGTTTGCTACGTTCAGGAGGTTTAGTGACTTGTTTACCGACCCTACAAATCACTAAATCTTTCGGACGTAGCAAACCGACCGTTGGATATTAATGGGCTCATGGGCCTAGTGAGAGGACGTGAGGCCCATTAAGAGAGGTAGGCCAATGGGTTGGTGGTGAACATGTAGCCCACTGAAGAGATAGCGGTCGGGGCGTTACAAGTGGTATCAGAGCCGAACCCAAGATAAGTGGGAGTGGTGGGCTCACACTGTCAAGGGATGACGATGGTTGTGCACAACAAGGACGTTGTGGTCTGTTAGTGGGGGAGAATTGTGAGACACCGGTTGCAGAGAGGCTTAAATGAATTGATTTGGCCACTGATGCGGACATCGGTTATCCTGTCCAACCCGCTGAACTAGATCAAGTACCAGATCCTGTACCACACCATGTACCAGTCGTCCCAGTAGGTCCCATGACTCGTTCAAAGTCTAAACAACTTAGAAAGAGGTTCAATCTAGCTGTACAAGACATTGTGAGCTCACTAGAGCTGAACTACGTCAACTGGTCTGTACCACCGTTACTCCATCACGACGGATACGATCCCATCGCCGAGGAAGAGCTTGCTGAAGCATTCACCCAAATGAGTCTTGAACATACCATTTCCCCAGGTATGAATTCTCCTTTGACAGGTCAAGAAACCTCTAGAATCCAAGAGAAGACAATGGAGTCACAAGAGACGAGCAAAACAAGCTTCACCTTCGAGAGTGATCGAGAGAGTGAAGATCAAGAACAAGATATCAAGGACTTGGAAGAGCTTCAAGATACTGATCAAGCTACCCAAGAGAAACTCCAAGAAACCATCTAATTCAAGAAACCAACAAACAAACATGCACCTGACAAGACCCCTGAAGTAGATCAAGACGTAGTTCAGAGAACATCGATTGGGCCTAGATCGCATACAGGTAAGTTCTATTCAATATTTTCGATAATTGCAGGTCCATTAAGCCACAACAACGGCTAGGAGACGTGCTCATCACGAGGTTTCAAGTTTGCTTTAGTATTTTACTTATTTTCTTTCCAAAAACAATGGCTTTGTATTTGTAGTTTTATTTGTTTCCTTTATTGCACTTTTACATTTATTTCGGCCTTAGGGCTAGCTGAAGAACTCTTATAAAGTCCCCCTGCAGCAGTTGTACGATTTTTCACCCTATTATCAATAAAGAACCCGAATTTTCTTCAATTTTCTCCTTAAGTGTTCTTAAGAGAAAAGCTTGTCCTTTGTCTTGTGTGTGTGATTCCACAAGGCTGAGTTCGTGTACTGTATCAGAGACCAATCACATCTCTGTGGTGTACTTCAATCCGCCAGCACTTCCCCTTCATTCGATCACACACGAGAGAAGCGACCGCCATCGTGTCAGATCTACATCAACGACCATCTTTCCTTCACAAGAGAGAAGCGACCGCCATCTTGTGAAGCCATCATATCTATTCTTATACAAGCTCACCACCGAGTCTTGTATCATCTGGTATCAGAGCCTCACGCTCTTCCCTTGCCAGGTTTACCTTTTCCATTTTCTTTTGATAGTTTTGATTTCTAGTTTTGTTTTATTTGATTTAAAAAAAAAAAAAAAAAATTAAGAACCCTAGTTTGCTGCAGCCTTGTTTCTATAGGTTGTTTAGTTTTATTTTTCCTTAACAAAAAAAAATATATATATATATTCGTCATTATTCTTTCCTTAATCGTATGTTTCAGTTTTTGATTTAGTTTCTGTACTAGTTCAAGGTTTTCGTCAAAAAAAAAAAAAAAAAATTATTTCGTTTTTAAATTTTTGTGTCATTATCTTTGTTAGCTAGTATTGTTTAAGTATCTTAAAGCTTTTTTTTTTTTTTTTTTTTTAAAAAGTTTTCATTTTCTTGTCTAATTCAGCACGTGCATCAGTTTCTTGTTTCTAAAGTTTTCATTTTCGATTTCTGTGGTACGTTGATTTCTTTGTTGTTTTTGTCTAAGTGCAGGATAATTTTTAGACACTCACAATGGGAGAACACGCAGCCATACCACAAGATGCCATGATGCAAATGATGCAAACCCTATCGAAACAACTAGAAGGGTTTGGCGAAAAAAGGAGAGAAGATCCCTTAATGAGGAACCGCGCTCAAGAGGTGGACACACGTGACCAGAACCGAGATGTTAAACTAACACCTCCTACTTTTGCAGGAAAATCAAATCAAGAGGTTTACATGGATTGGGAGAAAAGGATGGAATACATATTCCAATGTTATGGATATGTAGAACTCCGAAAGGTACCCTTAGCATCGGCACAACTCACCGACAACGCCTTATCTTGGTGGGATAGGACAGTGGC